CTCTGATACTCTGATGTTCAAAGAAAGGCAAAAAGATCTGATCCTGAAGAACACGTGTAATCAAAAAGGGAAGTAATAAACTCAGGGGGAGTATCTCTCAACTCTGATATCTTTTTACCCCTTATCTTTGATAACCTCTTACTCTGATGCATCTCTCTGATACCTTTTCACGTTATTTTCATTTAAAAATATCTAGTTTTTGTCATCATCAAAAAGGGGGAGATTGTTAGAACAAAGTTTGAATCTACTACCCTATATTTAAGTTTTGATGATAACAAAGTGAAAAGATATATTATTTATATGATTCATGTATGAACTATCTGCTGCCTAAATTATTAAGTTCTGATTTGCAGATACTCTGATTGATACAAGCAAGATCACACCTAATCAGCATCAGAAATTTGGTTCCTAACATCAGCATCAGAAGTTGCCATATCAGAATGTCAGAATCAGAAGATTAAATCATGTATATGCTGAAGTCTGATGAACAGAACTGCGCTCAACACTCTGATAAAGAAACACAACAGTTCATCAGCAGCTAAGCAGAATCAGAATGAGCCAAGCCAGAACTTGCATTAAGTAAGCAACGGTACTGTGTATTGAAAGCAAATTAATACCAACAACCTCATTCCAGACAAGATCTGCTCGATAAGGAAAGTTTGTTAATAGCATTGAATCAAGAATATTGCTTCAACGTTCAACATCTCAGTGCTATATAAACAAGACTTTGAAGATTGAATTGGCTAATGCTCTCCAAATCTTTACACGCATAAAAAGCTGATCAAAATCTTCCTTCTCTCAGTTTGCTAAACACTACACATTCTCATATTCAATCATTGTTTAGCAATCTAGTTTCTAAGCTTTAAGTTGTGTATACATCACAGTTGTGATACAGTTTTGTAGAAAACATTCACACACTTAGATTTATCTTCTTTGTAAGAAAGTGTTTCCTTGACAAACCGGGTTGTGGTTTGCATCAAGAAGGCTTTAGCAGTTGTTAAAGCAGTCTGTAATATTCAGTTGAATATAGTGGATTAAGACCTCGTTGGAGAGAGGAGAAATCACCTTGACGGGTGGACTGGAGTAGTTTGAGATCAAACGAACCAGGATAAAAATATCTTGTTCATTGCATTGATTTTCAGTTTTACAATTCAACCCCCCTTCTTGTGTTTTTCACTACTTCAGATTTCTGGGATGTTTTTCATGCATGTAACCGGATACGCACTGAGTGTAATCGGTTACCACTGGTTGAGGTGGGGAATTGCATAATATAAAATGATATAACTTGAGTTTCATGAATCCTATTGAGGTTTGATTCGAAGCGTTCGAAAGATAACACATAATATTATCCCTTGGTGATGTCCTAATAGTTTAATTGTGGGTGTATGATTAATAATTATGTATAAATAGATCAATTGTTATGATTATGTTCTAATAATTGATATGTTTGTGTATTCTATTTGAAATTATAATCGATGTGTCATGTAGTCTTATGATTGACATTAATATGTTGTTGTTTAATTGATGGTATTGGTTCAGAGATGGAACCTAAAATTTTTGATGGCCTTATATTGGAAATAATGATGTTGATGTTATTGGTTTAATGTTGTAACCAATTTCGAGTAATTGGTTTAGTGTTGTAACTAGTTACGGGTTGTGAAGTTGGGGGTGGCGGTGATACCTTCAGACTTCTGTATGTTGTTGCATTGCATGAATCATGTACGTTAAAGATAAGTGAGTTGTGATCTAGTGGTGTGGTCATGACGTGTCCGATCTAGAGTTGTGATCTGGACATGTAGTCGGGTTTATAGATGTAACCTGATGAGTAGATGACCTCAATAATATAAATCTGAACTTCCAAAACTTGGTACCTCATGCATTAGAGTCGAGTCGAGTAGTGCATTGCATACATGAGCTGTATTGCGTGATTGATTGTTGTGTGATTGAGTTTTATGATGTTGAGAATACTTGTGTTCTAGCTATCCTTGTTGCACTTTGCACTGTTATCATATTTTGAATTGTATTCTCACCCCTTATTTGCTTGTTGTGTTAGCTTTACGCCCATGATTCAGATACTCAAGCAGAGACTGAGAAACCTTAGATGTTGATGTGTTGAAGATGGCTCGTGCCTTTTTTATTTTTCATTTTTTGCATTCTATTTAGTATTTGGTATCGCTCTGATAGTGTAACATTGGAGATATGATTGTTATTTCTTCATTATTCTTAATGTTAAATTTTTATGAAACTAATATTTTATTCAATTTGAAGTTAATTCTATTTGAGACTACGAGACGTTGTTTAAAGTGTTTTATAAATTCCACTGCGCTGTGTTTAAGTTGTGAAAATATTTTACGCCGAGAATGTGCGACACCCTACTAATTAAAGTAAACTCTAATATTTTATTAAATGGAGTTGGAGAATTAGGGTTTTACATAATTGGTATCAGAGTAGGTCGGTCCATTCGACCTAGGTTAGGAATTTGTTTATTTCCCTGACATACAACATTTGTGTGAACACTATCAATGCTTGTTTTTCTTTCCTAACCACTTGCCAACAGGAGTAGGATTGAAACAAGTGGGGGAGAAGCTTCTTCTCCTCTAAGATATTCAGGTGTGAATGTCGGTTCAGCGTGTCGCTGATGCAAGAGTGCAAGTCTCGACGAGACTTTGTTTTTTCCCAAACCAAAAGAGAGATGACAAATTTGAGATTCATATTTTCGTATCAAGTGAAGATGTCCTTGGAGGAAAAGTTTGTCAGACCTAGCGTTTTGCCGTGTGAACTAAATTTATACTATAAAGTCATGCCTTTGAGACTGAAGAATGCATGAGCCATCTACCAAAGAAATATAGACAAAGTGTTCAGAAAACATATATATGTTGAGATTTACATGAAATTATATGGTGATAAAACTTGTGGTATGAAGTCCCAATCTAATAATATCTAAACAAGTTAGAAGATATAACACGAGGCTGAACTCATAAAAACACACCTTCAGAATTTAGGGGGAAATACTCATAGATTATTGATTACCTATAAGTGAATGGAAGACACCATGACAAATGCAAGGAGATAGATATTAAAGATGCAAAGTCCACCGTTCACAAATAATATCTCTAACTCAATTAATGTACAAGTCACCATAATGTTATTTAGCATTCTATTAAGTCCTCAATAAATAATAGGGTTTTCAATCCCTCCACCCGATATGAGCCCTTCAATGAACTAAGGAATTTTTTATCATGCATAGGAGACGTCATTAGTTCGATGTTAATTGAAGAAAAGGAATGAAGTCAATGTCAAATGTATTTTAAGAAATAATTGCATGAAAACGAACCTATATCCATATTCTTAGGAACAACCAATAAGAAAAGAAATTTTTTAACATTTATTTAAAATTTAATTTATTTTTTAATTAGAATCAAGGTGGAATGATTGTGATAATAAATAAGAGAGAAATTTTATTTTTATTTTTTAATTAATAAAAAACTGTAATTGATTATTTGTAAAACCACACTTATGTTTGTGTCTATCTAAAATTTTTCCATGTATTTTACAAGAAAAGTGTTACAAGGAGAAATACACAATATCCCCGTAAGTAGGGAAAAAATGTCATTTGCATGTCATTTTAGCTCTTAGGCACTAAGTGTATATTTGGTTCTATTTTTAGAAGATTCAAAATTAATTTTAAAGATGTAGAATTGATTCAGATGATTTTGAGTTGTTTAATTTTTTAAAAGTACAATTGATTTCGCCTCTAGAATTAATTCAATTTGAAGTTAGAATTTATAGTTTCTGTTTTCAGAATTGATTTTAAATGATTTTTACACTAAAATTTATCATTCGATACACTTTTACATAAATATATCTAAACATAAATCAATTATGCTAAATTCAATTATATTAAAATCAATTCTATCAAATTTAATTTTATTAGAATTAATTTTATCTACCTTCAATCTAATTCCATTCACACTCTATCAAGAAGATCATGCAAACTTACATGTTATCATAAAGGATGGGGACATGGCCAATATATCTCTCAAAAATTCAATTTAAGTTCAAAATAGAAAAAATCATTAAAATTCAAATTTTGATAAACTTTAGAGTTGGTATAACACATCAGATGAACACAATATCATTTATTCAGAATTAATAGAGTAGTTAAATGAAGCTCAATAAATAGTAAAAAATAAAAATACATATTACATAAATATTTTAATGTGATTATTATTTTAATATAAAAATAAACGAATAACACACTTTTACAAAATAAAAAAATAATTATCTTTTTAATTTAATATTATGTGCATTACTCACAAAATATTGCACCCTAAATAAAAAATAATAAATTTATGAATTGAAAACTGTAAATACATACTGACACTTCAATAATTTGGCAAAAATTATTACTACTCCTTTGCAAAATCGGCATTTAACTATTTATCAAAGATATCTAAAAATTTGCCTAATTTTAAACACGAAAAATGTTCAAATCACAGTTTCCAAGAGATGGTCAACATGTCAGCTCCTTATATAATTCAATTCAACAAATTTGATACATCTCCACCCCCAACGCCCACGTGCTTCTAAGCAGGCCCCCACCCAGGCCACCCTCACCAATAATAAAAGAAGTTGATTTTTTATCTTTAAAAATATATTAATAAAATTTCTAAATAAATATCATCCTTTAAATCTGTGATATTATATGTATTTTTACAGTAATAATAAATATATTTTAAAATTATTAAATATTAATCCTCAACAAAATTGATAGTATCACCAACATTGTATTTGTGATAGTTAGTAGGCCCACTAACTTGAGATCAACGCTGCTGTATATTCCATCAACTGGGCCTAACTTAGAACATATAGTGGGGTCATCATTCTCATTCAAACCCAATTCTCTCTCACACAAACAACTCTTTCATTCTCATCATCACTTTCACACAAAAAAAAACCCTAAAATCCGTTCACAATCTCCAAACCAAACCCTACCAACAATGACTTCACAAGTAGCTCTCCACACATTCTCTCAACCAGACACCAAAACTTCCACCGCCGTAACCGCCGTAACCGCCACCGACTCCGATCCCAATCTCCATCTCTCCACCGTTCGTAGAACCTCCACCACCGCCTCACGATCCACCAAAGACCGTCATACCAAAGTTAACGGCCGCGGTCGCCGTGTCCGTATGCCGCCTCTCTGCGCCGCCAGGATATTCCAGCTTACACGCGAACTCGGCCACCGCTCCGACGGTGAAACCATCGAGTGGCTCCTCCGACACGCTGAGCCGTCTATTATCGCGGCCACTGGGACTGGCACTGTCCCCGCTGATCCAGTTTCAGCCGTCTCCGCCGTTTCTTCCTCATCCGCGCCGTCTGTTTCCTGTAATGTTCATCCGTTGTCTTCGGTTGGTCACGTTAGTCAAGGCGTGTTTGCTGCGGTACAGCAGCCCAGCTGCCGGCTTGATCTCTGTCAGCCGACTGGGATGGAATACGCGGCGGAGAACAGATACCGTCACATGCCTTTCACGGCGTTGTTGTTGCAACCCACTACGGTGGAGGAGAATCAGCAAGAAGAAGCGCGGAGTGAACAATGACATTGTTGTGAATGTTGAGTTTGGTGTTCTGTATGTTTGTGAAATAGAATTGAAATTTGAAGGTTTCTTTTTATTGTTTTTATGTATAATTTTAAGGTTAGTTTTAGAGTATGGGTTTGGTTACAACAAGTTACAAGCCACAACAACAACACAATTGTGTTGTAATTTAATTAATATTGTTCGGAATAGAGTTATGTAAATGATTAGAATTAGAAAGCATGTGAATTATTAGTACGATGGATTGATCAAGTTCTATGGTAACGGCTGAAGTTCCATTTTCACAAGAGTTTTTTTTAGTTTTTCACTACATACTAACATCATTTAAGTATGTGTGGGGTTATGAGTTGAATTTTTTTTTGTTGAATCTCACATAAGAACTTTTACATTTTATGTTTTTATATGACGGAGATAGTCTCTTTAGAATGTGTCTCAATTATATAGATTTTAGTAATCAGTGAGTGATGGCCAATTTTGATACTTAAGTTTGTTTGACATATGTGGCATGTTTCATAGTTTTCTCTCTTCTCTTTTTTCTGCTCACAATAGTCAAACTGTTCATTTCACAATACAAATTATGTGTGTGTAATTCTCTAAAGCAAAGTATCAATATAGTGTAACTAAAGATGTTTTATTCTGAGGACTTGGTGGTTGATACTCCGATTGCAAATTTTTTTAGCACTATTTACTTAAAAAAGACTTTTCTAACTGAAAAAGTATTGTCATCGTCATGACACACGACATACCATGGATGAAATAGATGAACAGGACGAAAAAGAGAAAATGCCTCTCACCTATGATAATCATAAAATACCTCTCACCTATGATAATCAATCACCAACTTGAGTGTTTCACAATTTGTAGGTACATTCCTCCAATATATACCGAATCAAATTTAATGATTAAGTGACTTGAAACATAAGATGGGGGTTAATTGTGTTAAATGATTTTTAAAAACTTTTTACAAAAAGATTGATTTTATTGGGACAATTTTAAGAAGAATGATGAAATATAGTTTTAAGCGTGGAAGATAAATGACTGGCAAATAAAACATAAGAGTTAAAAAAATACACACCAAAACTTATACTAATTCAACCTTAAATTACATGATCTACTTCAGTCCTCAAGAGTTTCTCCTTTAGAGTCTCATTATTAACTTGGACTTTTTATCACAAGATCGACCCAATTTTTTCTTATACTAAGATTTTACTCAGTTTTAACTTGCAACCTTTAGAGCAATAACAATGTTGTAAGAGAATTATATTTTTGATTTAACGTTGGAACACTATCTAAATCAAACATCAGTTATACCACTCTTATTTAAGTCGTTCACTCTTTCAATACTAAAATAATATAAAATGTATAAAAATATTTTTAAGAAAATAATAAATAAAAGACAAGAGTAGAATATCATATTTTGTATGTTGTTCAGAAGTGAACACAAATCTTTCTTAAATAAGAAAAAATCTAATCAAAAGCATAAAGTAAAGAACACAAGATTTATACTACTTCTCTTTATTTATCAAAGGTACATTTAGTCCTTCTACTTTTAAAGAATTTTCCACTATGTTTACATCTTTGTACAAATCATCACCAAGACCTTTTTAGAACCTTCTAAAACATAAACAAACACCAAATCCTATGGTCTAATATGAATCTCCCTGACTCAAAGAACCCTTTCAATAATCACCAAACACTTTTACGATCCTCACAGAAAACATAAAGTTCATCACTTTCTATTTACAAACACCTTTCACTAACACACTATTATGAAAGATACAAATACTTAAACTTTGTTGAGAAATAAAGAATGTAGTCGACTATTGAATGTCTAATCCAATCTTAGTTAGGTTCTGTTTTGGTTTTGAAAATTTTCGAATTTATAAAAGTTTACAAGTTTCAAATCATTTTGAAAAATAATGTTTCTTGAAAATGGTCTTTAAATTGTATAAATGATAATATAAAAGTTGTTAATTAGTTTTTTTAGTGTATATAACCTTATATACACCATTAGAAATCTCTATGAATTATTGAATATTTTTGAAAAGGTTCTTTGAAGCATTGGAAATCAAAATAGTGATTCTAGTTCATGAAAAAACACACTGGTTCAGATTGTATTCGAATACAATGCATCTGTATTCATATACACCACTTACAATATTATAATTTTTGAAAATTTATCACCTATATTCGAATATAGTAAGGATGTATTTAAATATAGCATTGCTTTCAGCACTAAAAAAAGATTTTTAAGATAAGACTTCCACGAGTTTTTATGCGTTAACTTTAAAAATATTCTAGCTTAAGTTTGAGTGATATTTTCTAAGCTTGTAAGTGGTATATAAGAAGATGATGATATATTAAAGATAAAGACAATTTTAACTTTGTTCAATATTGATCTTTTCCATTTTGTCATGATCGATTGTTGTTGATGATACTTGGTCATTACGTATTATTTAAGAGCAAAAATAAAACAAATTGGTGTAATCATGAGAAAAATCGAAGCCAAAGTGTAGAAGAAGTGACCAAAAATAACCAAGAGGAATAAAGTTGGAACTTAGAGAAAATTTGAAGAAAAAGAGATTTTTTTGCCATTGGTTTTCTCGTGCTCGCGATGCTCTTATCGTGGACGCCATGATGTCACACCACGATTGCGATGTTGTGTAATGTGATAGTGATGACACGTATCAGTTGTTATAAATATGGCTTTTTAGTACTTTTCCAAGGGTTCTGAATTTGAGATTGAAAGTGACGGTCAAGAGCTTTTGGAGCACGATTTTGGAGAGCATTGGAGTTATTGGAAAACTTATTTTCCATATATTTTGATGAATACTTCTTATCAACTCATGTTAATTATTAATTTCACTATAGGTAGCTAAGTTATTTTAGATTAAGTCTTTTGAGATGAACCTAACTACACTCTGTTGGATCATATGACTATTTGAGGTTATTTGAAGGTTTTTATTTGTTACAATTATTACTTAATTGTTCTTGTATTCATTGCTTTTTGTGTGTTGACGAGCGCAAGAATTTATATTAGATGAGTAGAGATTATTAATATTATTGACCGTAAGTCTACCGATCTGAACTAGGACAACTATTCAATTAAGTATTTAACTAGAAATAGGTAATTATAAATTCTGTCTTTGAAATTAATGAACTTAGAAACACCTGATTTAACTCTGAATTGGCTAAGGAATTAGGGAATTACTCCATCCGATCACTATTATAAGCAAAAAAATGACCTTAAATTTGGTCATTATTATAAGCACAAGTCATTAACTTTCAAACTAATTAATTCTTATATTATTAATATACTCCTAATTTAATTAAACAACATTTAATGTTGATAGTTGATTAATCAAATATAACTAGGGATATTATAGTAGATTTAATTTTAATTGTACACGAAATTAAGAAAATTAATTACACTTAACTAACACTCTTAATTAGTGTGAAAGTAGTTATTTTTGCTTATAATTGTGATCAAAAAGAGTATTGTGTAAATTAATGAGTTGTATACCAAAGAATTGAGTGCACGCGTATTGTTAATTCGTTGAAATACTATAGCATAATTATTCTTCATATAATACACATTTCATTAACATGTATAATTACGGGATTCACAATAAAGATCTAATCATTTTTCACTGTGAAACTTTACTCCGACAAAAATTCTCATCTTGTTTTCGTAACCAAATCATTATTGAAAACCCCCTTTTGTTATTTATTTCAAACCACATTGTTATTTCCTTGTTAAATTTACAATCCATTTGGAGGCAAATTATTTTATTACTCCGACGAGATTAGTACACTTGCTAGTTTAGTCATCAAGTTTTTGACGTCGTTGCCAGAAATTATTAATAATTTCAACAAGGTAATATTTGTGCAACATTTTTAAATTTAAATTTAAATTTTGTTAGTTAATTTTTAGTTATTGATTTTTAATTTTTATTTCTTTATTTTTATTTTGTTTGTTTTGGTGCAGTGCTACTAAGGTATTGTTTGTTTGTTTATGCGAAGTTTAGATTTGATATTGATAATGATCGATCCAGAAATTGAAAGTGTTGGAAAGTATTTCATATTCAGAAGTTGTTGTTAGAGTCAGAAGCTTTTGATGTTGTTGCTTAGAAGTAGTGTTGCTCATAAGCAGTTGAGCTTATGAGGTTGTTAGTCAGAAGCTGTAAGCTTTTGAGACTGCTTAGTTAGAAGCAGTAGTTTGATATATTCATGAAGTTGTTATTAGTCAGAAGCAGAAGCTTTTGAGGTTACACCCAAAAGTATGCTTAGCTTCTGGGATTTTGGAGCTGAGTTTGTTAGCATAGCTGTTAAGTTTAGTATTTCCTAGTTTGTACCTTTTAACTTAGTCATTAAGTTTAGTTTTATTAGGGCTTTCGTGATAATTTACTTTGTGTATAAATAGACTAGTAGTAGATGTCATTTGTAATAGTAACAAAAATTATTGTTCAATCATTCTTCCTTACAACTTTGTAGCTGTCATTCTCTCTCTCATAAATATATTCCTTTATTTATTAACCTTGTGCACTAACAATTGGTATCTAGAGCTCTGGTTGGATTCACGGGAAACACGAGTGAAACAGTGAGGCGTTGTGTGATTGATTTTGGTTCTTGAATTCGCGTTGAATCTTGAGCACTCTAAACAGAATCACATTTTTGTGATTCCGTGGGATTGGGAAACACTGTATTTGTGAGATCTGAGTATTTTGTACAAGGTTGAAGATGACCGGAAATAGTAGTCTAAGCACCAAGCTTTCATTATTTAATGTAAAAAACTGGAATCGTTGGATGATTCTGATGCATGTGCTGCTTGGCGCTCAGGATATTCTTGAGCTTGTTACAAATGGTTATGTTCCAGTTGCAGCAGATGCGACGGAGGAACATAGAAATGCACAGAGAGATACAAGGAAGAAAGATCAGAAGGTGTTGTTCTTCATCTATCAATATATGGATGAAAACATGTTTGAGAAAATTGATGATTCAAC